CCCCAATTTTAACCTTGGAGCACGAAAAATTTTCCTTTCCTCTAACTTTTGTTCAATTAAAACCCAAGATGGGGGTCTCATCTCCCGAGATGGGCTTTCGTTTTCTATGACATAAATTATTAAAAAAAATTTGCCATTTTTTACCATAAATACTGAATTTTGGAAAATAATCAGTATTTTCCAAAAATTACTTTAAATATAAAAAAGTTTTAAAAAATGACAAATTTTTAAAGAGTTTTTGCAAATCGCCAAATTTTTCCCTTTTCGGCAAAAATATAAATTTTAAAATATAATACAGTGGTCCCTCGTTGTTCATAATTAATCGTTCGGGGAGGTTACTATAAAAAAAATTTTACGTTTTTGAATAAAATTTTCCCAAAAAATAATGTAAACAATTAATCGTTCTTGATAAGAAGTATTAAAACAAAAAATTTTTTTAAATAAAATATGCTGTAGTACAAAAACAATACAATGGGAAATGATGAATAAACTTAACAGCATAACACTTCCCTTTTATTGGAGATTCTTCTTAGGGTATGGGGATGGAGGGGAGGAGAGGGGATTTTTTATGTTTGGAAGGGAATCCCTTCCATAAACACCTCAGGTCCCATTTGCTTTTCTGGGGTTGTTCTCTTCTCTGTTTCTTAAAGCCACTAGGACCATTGAGGCATGGATCCCGTCTCACAAAAATAACTGTGGAGAGAGCTTGTTTCTGGCACTCTTTAACACTTTCCCCAAAATGGCCCCGACTTTGTCATACAGTTGCCAACCCGGTTTGCAAAACCCTTTTGGGTGATGTTTCTCCATAAAAACTTTCCATCTTTCCCCCATGTAAAAAAACTCTTTATTTTGAAAAAGGGCATTTTCCCCTTTCTTCCCCTTCTTGGGAGCAAGATTTTTGGGTCGATGTTTGTTTCCTGCTGAAATTTGCGCTCCCATGGGGAGCTCTTCATTTTTGGGCTTCCCCCAATTTTTTTTCCCCACTCCAAAATCACATCCCCAACCCCCTGGAATCCCCCGTGACAATTGATTTTATAAAAGAATAGGTCATTAGGGTCAGTCCCAAATTCTTCAAAAAACCCCCTTGTCGACAAATTGGCCACAATTTTCTCCAGGGCAGAGTTCAAAGTCCTGGGGTCACCCTCCCAAACCATACCATAAGGGTTTTTGCAGTGGAGGATGCTGAAGTGTTCTCTCCAAAAATTCCCCTTTGGGCAAGTGAGTGTTGTGGTCACGTCAAGATGTGAAAAAATTGCTTTTGTGTAGGTTTTTTTAAGTTTGCAAAATGCTGGTCCCTGGGTTGCGGGAGGAGTGGTATTCGGGGGGGAAAAAAAATTTACTGGATGAACCCAAAATCCCCAAAAATTTGGTATCCAAATTTGGGGATGGAGGTGATTGTTTCCCTTACGGGAGGCCTTTAGATCAATTTCTTTTAGGAGTACTCCTTCACACTTGGGCCAAACATTATTTAACCACTCACGAAAAATTTTCCCCCGGACCCCGGGCCCTTTTTTTTTAGGGGTTTCCCCCAAAAAAAAAACCCCAATTTTGCTTTTAACATTGTTTTTCCCGAACTTTGGGAATTTTTTAGAATGGTACACTGAAAGGCTTCAATTTGAAAACCCCCTAATTTAGCACGAACTTAGCGTAGTGTTTTCATAGGCTTTTTGTCCCCGGCATTGCCTTTTCCCCTTTTTGTTAAAGAAGGTTCTTTGGGTTTTCTTCCCAAAAGGCCCGTTTTGTTAAAAAAAAGGGAAAAAAAAAAATTGTTAGGGTTTTAGTCCCTTTGCCCTTTTGTTTAAACCTGGAATTCATGCCCCTTTTTTTTTCAGCCGCCTTGTGGCCTGAATGGGGAGCCTCACCTTTCCTTACAATGGTTGCCCCGTGGTTTTAAAATTTTTTCAAAACAGCCTTTTTGGTTTTAAAATTATCACCCCTATTTTAGGCCGTTTCTTTAACCAAAACTTATGCAAATGCCTAGGGCCCTTTTTACAAATAAAGGAAAATCTTAAAAGGATCTCTGCTAATTTTTTTCAAATTTAAACCACACCAAAAATAACTTTTCAACCTCTTTAGTAATGGTATCTCATTTTTGTCAGCATGTTACTCCCCCTTTTCAACCCAAAAATCCTTTATTTCATTTTTTTTTGGGCACTATGGAACATAAGGGTGTAGGGTTTCTTATAACCTGGAAATTTTGGCCCCCACTTGTACCATTTATATTTTTCAATGTTTTTGGGTTTTTTTAAATTCAATCGTATTTTACCTTTTTTCCACAGGGTTGCCTTTGGAGCTTTTTTGGAGCCCTGGTAGCTTTTTTAGTATTGCAAGCACTAAAATAAATGGAATATTATGAAATATTTCGCTGGAGCACGTGAGGGGACCTTCGCTCACTGGTAAACAATGCCAGACTGGCTGCTGCCCTGGCTCACGCGTGGGTACGCGTCCCGGACGAACTACGACTTGTGAGTCAACCTATGAAAAGCGAGTCCATGTTTATACGAAAATACCTCTATGATTGGCAAATTTTACGATTGCCGGGAACTACGAAAAGCGGGGGACCACTGTATATTGTTATAAAAAACGCGACTTCTAATAAGCTTAGAGATCTCCAGTGAATACTAGAAAGGACTGCCCTTCTAGCATCCAGCCTGTTACTGGGTTTTCGTAACAAGTAGTCAGTATCCTGGTCCAATTATCCAATGGAATTCAGTAAGAATTATTAGTGCTTCAGGATTACAACTGTTAGGCTACTAACTAGAGAAATTAAAATTTAATAAATTTATTAATAACATCTAGAGGTATAAGATTAAAGTAAATTAAATTAATAATAATCAAAATTAGAATAATCACTTCTCTCGTGTACAGTATTATTGTGCTGAAAGAACATATCACATTTATGTCTTAAGTACCGTCTGGTACATTAATATTTAATAATACAATATACAAATAAGTTTGTGTGTATGTGTGTAAGTGCTCTAAGTAGTTCGCTGTGTCTCACGATTCGACTAGACTTAAACAAGTGACTGACAAAGTCCTCACATAAACTAATTTCTTGACCAACTGGCAATCAGAACAGCCTGCTTGAACAATAAAATAAATGCTAAGACCAATAGCAATATAACAAGCAACTGCGACACAGAATCAGGATCAAGGAGATGATATGATGACACTAAGTAGGGACCATCAGCAGATCCTCCACAAAAGTCACAAAACTCCCATACTACTGAATCTAAGTTCAGCATAAGAAAATCCCCGACTGTGGCAGTACACAGAAACCAGTGCAAGTTAGGTCAGAAATTACAGCTCAGGACCTGAGTTGCTCAGTGTCTTAAGAGACACACAACCTCAGTACAACATTGAAAATCACTAAGTCTATACAATGTTCTGTGAACAGAGTCTCCAGAACCTAAAACAATAATGAGACAAGAGACGATCTTCCAACAAGGGCCAATAAGGGAGAGTTAGGCACTTGTCAGGAATACGTCCAACCACCAAGAGAGTCTAGACCAGACTGAATACTTCAGGCGAGGTGAGGACACCCCCCCTCGATCATGTGATAGCTCCGTGGACAGTTGCTGCCCAGCAACAGAGAAGCCGGCAGAGTAACGAGCAATGAGCGATAATTACAGTAGTTAGACAATCAAGACTAACTATGAGCACATAATATATGAAGGTTACATCCTACCTAACAAAAGTAACTAAGTCAAATAATAATATAAAACAATATATTTACAATTTAGCTATTATCGCAAATATAAGCAATATAAAATTATATGAAAAGGTAATATACATTATTTAAATATACATAATATACATCATATACATTGTAACCCATTCAGGGATTGCATTATATATATATATATATATATATATATATTTATATATATATATATTATATATATATATTATATATATATATATATATATATATATATATCAGTATTTGAGTGAAGATTACAGAGTGTGTAACGTTTATCACAGTTACATTAATACTGTCTTAATCTTAACCTGTCATTCCTACACTTTGATGTACTTAGTTTTATCTCAGTGTTTTCCATCTCTTTGAGATAAGTATTTCTTTTTTGTTTTTGAGAATGTGTGAAAAATTGAGTCCTCATCTTCGCCTGTAGAGGGAGCGAGAGAGTATCTCTCTCTCTCTCTCTCTCTCTCTCTCTCTCTCTCTTCCAGCTGTTACACAAATATCTGAAACATCATCTTGCAGTTTGGTCGCTTCAACTGTTTACTGCCTTAACGTAAATTTATCACAGTCTTAAATAGTTCATTCGTGTCCGTGGTACAGCACTTAGTGTCACTCTGCAATACTCTCAATCAGTGCTGTATAAACCACAGAGAAAATAAGCCCTCTTGTCTGATTTTTTAGGGGGGATATTCTAGGTAATTTACACTATGTGTACGTGTACCTGTGTCTAAATAAATGCTGTATGACCCTTGTGGGTTTACCGCTTAGTTATGACTATAGTAATGTTAGTTTAACATATTTATTATGCACCTGAACCCAGGGTGTGGATGGTAGTCTTAGGATTACATAGGTACATAATGAGTGCATGTACTGGGCCGTAAAGTTGTGATACCTGAACAAGTTACAAAGGTAACGAACTGTTTACGTGTTTATAATAATGTGCCTCAATAACTTTAGGTTACTTAGCTGTTTTAACTTTAATATTTAAATAAGTTATTACAAGGACCCCAGTGGAAATAAGTCACTTTGACATTTTTTTTGGGGTTATCCTGGAGGATAATCTACACATATGCTGCTGTGTATGATAATTTATGTAACTATGTGTACTTAGTTATTAGGTGAAGCGCAGCACTCTACGTCGTTCCAACACCCAGACATTACATTTATGAGAGATTTCATGGCAGCTGCTGCTGGGATCTTCTCTGTTACACAGACACAGACACAATGTATTAACACTTGTTTCTGTCTTACAGGTTGGTGGCCTCAATCAGTCGAATGGATGAAGATCTTTCTTGGG